ATTCTAACACCCTTCCCTAACCCCTGGCAACACTGATCTCTCCTCCCACAGCATGGTTTTGTCACTCTTGGAGAATATCATATAAATGGATCATATTAGTGGTACCTTTGAAATTGGCTTCTTTCTTTTTTGTTTTGAGATAGAGTTTCACTTTTGTTGCTCAGGCTGGAGTGCAATGGTACAATCTTGGCTCACTGCAACCTCTGTCTCCTGGGTTCAAGTGATTCTCCTGCCCCAGCCTCCTGAGTAGCTGGGATCACAGGCGCCCACCACCACACCTGGCTAATTTTTTTATATTTTTAGTAGAGACGGGGTTTCACCATGTTGGTCAGGGTGGTCTCGAACTCCTGACCTCAGGTCATTCACCCACCTCAGCCTCCCAAAGTGCTGGGATTATAGGCATGAGCCCCACACCCGGCCAAGATTGGCTTCTTTCAATCAGGCTACTTATGTTGAGATTCATCCAAAGTGTTGTGTGCTTCTCTGCTTTTCTGTTTTGTTGTATTTTATGTTTTTAGCAAGACAGAGGGTCTTGCTCTGTCTCCCAGACTGGAGTGCAGTAGCACAATCATGGCTTACTGCGGCCTCGAACTGCTGGGCTCAAGGGATCTTCCCGCCTCAGCCTCCAGTATCTGGGACTACAGCCGCATGCCACCATGCCTGGCTAGTTTTATATATATATTCATTTATTTGAGATGGAGTCTCGCTTTGTCACCCAGGCACGATCTCAGCTCACTGCAACCTCTGCCTCCCAGGTTCAAGCGATTCTCCTCCCTCAGCCTCCTGAGTAGCTGGGATTACAGGCACCCACCACCACGCCTGGCTAATTTTTGGTATTTTTAATAGAGCGGGGTTTCGCCATGTTGATCCGGTTGGTCTCGAACTCCTGACTTCAGGTGATCCACCCGCCTAGGCCTCCCAGAGTGCTGGGATTACAAGCGTGAGCCACTGCATCTGGCCTGTCATGTTTCAGTAGTTTGCCCTCTTTATTGCTGAGCAGTGTTTCATGGTATGGGTGAATCACAGTTTATTCCTTTCTTAAGGGATTTTTTTTTTCCCCCAGTGTTCAGCTATTGCAAATAAAGCTCCTGTGAATAAGCACGTGCAGATTGTGTGTGGGGTTGCATATTGTTCAAAATCCTCTCTGGCTTTCCAATTCCCTTAGAATAACATTTGCGGTCCTCCTGCAGTCTGTAAAATCACACCTGTCCGGCCTTTGTCCAGCCTTTGATAGCATTTCCTCCCTGCCTCCTCTGCTCTCTTTCTTCCAGCGATCCTGGCTTTCCTGATTTTCTCTGCACATGCAAAGCCCAATCCATTTGTAATGAGTTGAATGGTAGACCCTAAAATGTACATTCAGAACCTGCGAATGTGACTTAATTTAGAAAACGGTTTTGCAGAAGTGAGGGGTCTCAAGATGAGGCTATCCTGGATTAGGGTGGTACCTAAATGCAACATCAAGTGTCCTCATAAGACATAGAGGAGGAGGGCTGGGTGTGGTGGCGCTTGCCTGTAATCCCAGTGCTTTGGGAGGCTGAGGCAGGTGGATTGCCCAATGTCAGGAGTTTGAGACCACTCTGGTCTACCTGGTGAAACCCCGTCTCTACTAAAAATACAAAAAAATTTAGCTGGGTGTTGTGGTGTGTTCCTGTAAGCCCAGTTACTCAGGAGGCTGAGGCAGGAGAACTGCTTGAACCCAGGAGGTGGAGGTTGCCATGAGCCGAGATCGCGCCACTGTACTCCAGCCTGGGAGACGGAGTGAGACTCCGCTTCAAAAAAAAAAAAAAAAAAAAAATACAGAGGTTGATGCAGGCACAGGGAATAAGGCCATCTGAAGATACTGCAGAAACTGGAGTGACGCAGCCACAAGCCAAAGAATGCCTGGAGCCTCTGGAAGTTGGAGGAGGTAAGGATCCTCCCCTAGAGATCTTCAGAGAATGTATGGCCCAGCTGATGCCTCCACACTGAACTTCTGGCCTCCAGAGTGTAAGAAAATTAATTCCTGTTGTTTCAAGCCACCCAATTTGTAGTAATGTATTATGGCTGTCAAAGGAAATTAATAAACCATCTCAGGGCCTTTATACGTGCCATCTCCTCTACCTGGATTACTCTTTCCCCAGATTCTTGTGGGGCCCATGTCCTCACTTCCTCCTGGTCTCTGTGCTCAACTGTCACCTACTTAGAGAGTCCTCCTGCTCGTCTTAAGAGAGGCCCTTACTGTATCCCTCTAACTCTATAATTTGTTGCACTTCTCTTTAAATATCAATCAATTTCGATACATGGTATTTGTTCCCTCTCCTGCCCCACCCCCGCCCCTTTTTTTAAGAGACAGGGTCTTGTTCTGTTGCCCAAGCTGGAGTGCAGTGGCATGATCACAGCTCACTGTAGCCAGGACCTCTTGGGCTCAAGCAATCCTCCCTTCTCAGCCTCCCAAGCAGCTAGGATAACAAGCACCTGCCACCATGCTCAGCTAATTTTGTTTGCTTTTTTTTTTTTTTTTTTTAAAGTTTTTAGACAGAGTCTTGCTCTGTTGCCCAGGCTGGAGTGCAATGGCGTGATCTCAGCTCATCGCAACCTCCGCCTCCTGGGTTCAAGCGATTCTCCTGGCTAAGTTTATTTACTTATTTATTTTTATTTTTTTGAGATGGAGTCTCACTCTGTCGCCCAGGCTGGAGTGCAGTCGTGTGATCTCGGCTCACTGCAAGCTCCGCCTCCCGGGTTCAGGCCATTCTGCTGCCTCAGCCTCCCAAGTAGCTGGGACTACAGGCACCTGCCACCACACCCAGCTAATTTTTTGTATTTTTAGTACAGACGGGGTTTCACCGTGGTCTCCATCTCCTGACCTTGTGATCCGCCCGCCTCAGCCTCCCAAAGTGCTGGTATTACAGGCGTGAGATACCACGCCCGGCCTGTTTTTTTTTTTTTTTTTTTTTTTGAGAGACAGGGTCTCACTTTTTGGTCCTGGCTGGTCTCAAATTCCTGGCCTCAAGCGATCCTCCTGCCTTGGCCTCCCAAAGTGCTGGGATTACAGGCATGGGCCACCGTGCCAGGCTTGTTTCCCTTTTTAAAAAAATCACTTGTCCTCTGTGTATATTTGTTTCAGCGACTGTTGATTTGTTTCAGCCTTTGGCTGAGAAGGTTTTTGGACATTTCTCTAGCAACAATCTTTCTTTATCTGGGGAGAGATAGGACAGATAATTAGTCTTGGAGCATGTTAAAGCTTTGTCTCCCAAGAAAGAATTTACATCTATTACAATATCTTTCTCTCTCTCTCTGGAAAACTGTATCCTTGGTACTAAGGCTTTTTTTTTTTTTTTTTTTTTTAGCTTTACAGAAAAGCTGTAAAGATAGCAAGATAATTTTTATCTACTCTTTATCCAGCTTCCCTGAATGTTGACATCTTATATAACCATAATACATTTACTGAAACAAAAAGATTAACACTGGTTCATTACTGTTAACTCAATTCCAGACTTTATTTGGATTTCACTAGCTTTATCCGCAAATTTGTCCTTTTCTTGATTCCTGGATCCAGTCCAGGGTACTATATTGAATTTACTTGTCACATCTCCTTTCCTGCCTCTGGTCTGTGGCAGTGCCTCAGTCTTTCTTTGTTTTTCATGACCTTGACAGTTTTGGAGAGGCCTGGTTAGGCATTTTACAGAATGTGACTCAATTTGAGTTCCTTTGCTTGCTACTATATTATACAAAAAATATACACATATATATGCATAAATATTCATTTATAGTGTGGAAAATATACATAACATAAAATTTACCATTTTAAGTATTATTATTTTGTGAGACACGGTTTGCTCTGTTGCCCAGGCTAGAGTGCAGGGGTACAGCCCCGCTGGTGTGGAAAGCGAGCTGTGTTCGGACGGCCTGAACCTACGGGCTTGCATTATTTGACCAATTGACGGCTGCGGAAGGTGGGCCCCCAAAGGTCTGGGCTCCTGAAGCCGCCGGGGGGCGTGGCCTCCAGGTTTAAAAAAAATAAAATGGGTGTGAGGCCTGCAGTGCGAGCCAATGAAAGGCGAGGGGAGGCGGGGTCTGTGCGCCAGGCGGCCAGTAGAGGCAAGGCTCTTTCGGGTGGCCCTGGAGCGTGGCTCCGACTGTGCGCATGCGCATCGGGCCGGACTACGGGGCGCCGCTGAGCCAAGTGGGCGACCCGGGCAAGGACGGGCTCCCGGGTCACGTGACACGGAGGGGGCCGAATTCTACAGGAGGCAACGCCATAGCCTGGAGGTGAAAGTGCATAGCCTCGGGGGTCGAGCTGGTGTGGGAGAACCACATCCTGATGCGTTGTGACCTCGACCCGTGGCCCGGGGTCTGGGTCCAGGCTCGGGCCCGTGCGCTCTCTAAGGGAGAGGCGTGGCTTGCGTGGAGGGTCGCGCCAGCTAACCTGGGGGCGTGACCTCGTGCCTCTTGGTGACGTACCGTGGGGCGGGCTCACTCCTGGGGCTGAGATTTGGGGTCCCGTTGTGGAAAGAGAGGACGGGCTTCTGCCTGTCCATTGACAGGTAGGTAAGTGGAAGATAACTCTGTGGTGCTGTTGTCGCCGCTTTGACCTGTGGTGGCTAGTTTGGGTGGGAATGGTGGTGACATACAGGATTGGGGCTAGCCCCGCGAGGGGCGTGGCCTTGTCACAGAGAGGCGTGGCTTCACTCCGAGCCTAGGCGCACAAAGGGCGTGGGCTGGCAGGGTTGGGGGCGTGGCCGCACAGAAACTGGCGGCAAGGGGCGTGGTCCTGAATCCGGGCTGGGAGAGGGGGCGCGATTTCTTCCGGATAGGTTCCCTGTCGCGCCCAAATCTGGGAAGTGCCGTTTCTCTCTTAGGTGCCACCTCATGGAGACCCCCGCGGCCGCCGCCCCTGCCGGGAGCTTATTCCCCTCCTTCCTGCTCCTGGCCTGCGGGACGCTGGTGGCCGCCTTGCTGGGCGCCGCGCACCGCCTGGGGCTCTTCTATCAGCTGCTGCACAAGGTGCGGGACACAGAATGGGAGGTGGGCTGGGGGCAGTCAAAGAGGGAGGGACCTCGTGGTGCTGCTTCCAGCTCACTCATTGTGCAGGGTGGGAAAGTGAGCCCCGACTAGTCCAGAGGGACTGGTAAGAGGCTGTGTCCAGGGCCCTGTCTCCATTGCCACGCTGCGTATGGGGGCCTGGACTTTGCCACTAGTGAGAGAGAACATGGAAGCTGCCGCTGCCCGGGCACTTGCACCCCACCTACCTCCTTCCCCAGTGACTCTTTTCACAGAACAGATGGACAGCACCCCTAAACTGGATGGGATAAATGCGGCAGAGGGCAGGCACCAGCAAGGGGGTGGCAGTGAGTTTCATAACAGTTGCCCTCTGCTGACAGTACTGTAGACTTTCTTACCTACCCGTTAACCTTTTCCTTGAAAGTAGGTGCTGTTCTTTCTGCCTTATTTTCTGCAAGTGGAAGCTGAGGCTCAGAGAGATTGTGTGGTGGTTTGCCCTAGGTGACATGTTTGGAAAGAGCCGACCCCACAGGCTTCCCCCGAACTCCTTGCACCTGTTTGAAATTTACCCCTTCCCCAGACTTCCTTCTTAACCCTTTCTCTCCTAGCAGGGACCAAGCTTGACCTCTCCCTCCCCAAACCCTTCTCTGATCCTTCCTCTGCTAGCCAAGAGTCATGCCACTGACCTTCAGGACTTGCAGAGATTTAAAGCAAGCCTTGGATGTGTAGGGCTGTGAGGCAGCTGGAGTTGGGAGGCCTCGGCACAGTCTATGCCAGCAGTTCACTCCTATGCCAGGCACATGGTGGCTGGCAGCCTGTCAGCTAAGCCCTGGGGCCTGTTTAGCATCTATCAGGAGGGTATCAGGGAGGCTGGAATCAGGAGCCCAGCTGCCAGGCCCTGCAGGGATACTGGAGGACAGTCGGGAGTCACAGCAGATGGCTCCCTGCCAAACTGCCTGGGTTATATAACCGTCTCCTCTCTCCCTGATTGCCCTGCCATCCTGGAGACAGGCAGTGTAACAGTGGGGCACTTAAGAGCGTGGGTTCTATTGGACTTTCAATCTTACTTGGGCAGGTCTTGATGTCCTCAGCTGTAAGAGGGATGTAATGACAAGAGGATCTGATAAGATGTTAAGCCTTGCTTTGAGCCTGGTGTGTAGTATAATATATGCCTAACCAAGACCAAGCTTCTCTTGACCTCTCACCCTGCTCCTGCCCCCTTACCTGGGGCAGGGGGATTGCCCCCTTTCCCAGCTGCCCTCTGCCCCGACCTTTAACTTTATTGCTCCACCTGTCCTTGGGCCCAGGTGGACAAGGCAAGCGTCCGGCATGGCGGAGAGAACGTGGCCGCTGTGCTGAGGGCCCATGGCGTGCGGTTCATCTTCACGCTGGTCGGTGGGCACATTTCCCCGCTGCTGGTGGCCTGTGAGAAACTGGGCATCCGTGTGGTGGACACACGCCATGAAGTCACGGCTGTCTTTGCTGCTGATGCTGCGGCCCGCCTGTCCGGTGAGAGCATTGCGGAGAGGGCTGGGGAGTGGTTGGACTGTGGGATACAGTGTCTGTGAGGGTTGGGGTTTTTCAGAGGTGGGAGAATGGCCAAGAGAGTAGGCATGGCCGTGATGGGCTCTGTGTTCCAGGAACGGTGGGCGTGGCGGCAGTGACAGCAGGCCCTGGCCTCACCAACACGGTGACGGCGGTGAAGAATGCTCAGATGGCTCAGTCCCCAGTCCTGCTTCTGGGTGGGGCCGCCAGTACTCTGCTGCAGGTAGCCAGTCCTTGGGGGCTGGTGGGGGCCTAGGTGGGGCTTGAAGGGCTCATGTGATAACCCTACCACACCCCTGTCTTTGCCAGAACCGGGGTGCGCTCCAGGCCATTGATCAGCTGTCCCTTTTCCGGCCACTCTGTAAGTTCTGTGCGTCTGTGCGGAGGGTGCGGGACATCGTGCCCACCCTGAGGGCCGCGATGGCTGCCGCCCAGTCGGGCACCCCAGGTAGGTGGAGGATGGTGATGCTGAGCAGTGCTGGGGCCGAGGGGCTGGGGACATGTTGTGGACTCAGCGTCCTCCCTGCCCCTGCAGGTCCGGTGTTTGTGGAGCTGCCCATTGACGTGCTGTACCCCTACTTCATGGTCCAGAAGGAGATGGTGCCAGCCAAGCCACGCAAGGGCCTCGTGGGCCGAGTGGTCTCCTGGTGAATAGCCCCACCACTGCCATTCCCTCCTCTATCCCCCGCCCTCTCCTGCAGCTTCCAGCCTGTGTCCATCCTCCTTAGATTCACTTGTGGAGTGGGAGGAGACAGATGTGGGGAGAGCATTCCTGGTAGAAGGAACAGCATGTGCAAAGGTCCTGGGGCAGGAATGAATTGGGTAGGTGGGGAAAGCAAGGTGGCCCTCATGGAGGCAGCAGAGGGGAGAGGCTCAGTACAGCTCTTCTCCTCCATCATCTCTTCTTCCTCCTCCCTCTTCCTTCCTCTTCTCCTCCCTTTCCTCCCCCCCTTTCTCCTCGTCTTCTCCATTTTCCTCCTCCTTAAGGATGATTTGAACCTCAGAAAGGAGGTTCATTCTTACATTTACAGAGGAGGAAGCTCAGAAAGGTGAAGTCACTTGCCCAAAGTCACACAGCTAAGAAGTAGCAGAGCCCAGGCCGGGAGCGGTGGCTCACACCTGTAATCCCAGCACTTTGGGAGGCTGAGGTGGGTGGATCATGAGGTCAGGAGATCGAGACCATCCTGGCTAATACGGTGAAACCCCGTCTCTACTAAAAGTACAAAAAAAAAAAAAAAAAAAAAAAACAAGCTGCGCATGGTGGCGGGCGCCTGTAGTCCCAGTTACTCGGGAGGCTGAGGCAGGAGAATGGCGTGAACCCGGGAGGTGAAGCTTGCAGTGAGCAAAGATCACGCCATGGCACTCCAGCCTGGGAGCCTGGGTGACAGCGCGAGACTCTGTCTCAAAAAAAAAAAAAAAAAAAGTGGCAGAGCCCAGACTCGAGCCCTCTCCTTTCCTCCTCCTTCCCTCACATCTTTGTCCTTTCCTTTTTTTTTTTTTGAGACAGAGTCTTTGTTCTGTTGCTCAGGCTGGAGTGCAGTGGCGCAATCTTGGCTCACTGCAATCTCCACCTCCCGGGTTCAAGTGATTCTCCTGCCTCAGCCTCTGGAGTAGCTGGGACTACAGCTGCCCGCCACCACGCCTGGCTAATATTTGTATTTTTTGTAGAGATGAGGTTTCATCATGTTGGCCAGGCTGGTCTTGAACTCTTAACCTCAAATGATCCACCCTCCTCTGAAGGGGTGACCTGCCCCTCCACACCTGTGGGCGTTTCTCATTAGATGGAATGAGAGACTTGAGAAAAGAAATGAGACACAGAGACAAAGTATAGAGAAAGAAAAAGTGGGCCCAGGGGACCCGCGCGCAGCATACAGAGGACCCACACCCGCACCGGTCTCTGAGTTCCCTCAGTATTTATTGATCGTTATCTTTACCATCTTGGAAAAGGGGAAGTGGCAGGATGATAGGATCATCGTAGGGAGAAGGTCAGCAGAAAGACATGTGAATAAAGATCTCTGTGACATGAGTAAGGAAAAGTGCTGTGCCTTGATATGCATATGCGAATATCTCCATAAACCTTTTTAGTGCATAGAGAGCAGCATTTCCGCTAGCATGTCACACCTTCAGCCCTAAGGCAGTTTTCTCCTTTCTCAGTAAATAGAACATATAATCGGGTTTTACACTGAGATGTTCCATTGCCCAGGGATGGGCAGGAGACAGATGCTTTTCTCTATCTCAACTGCCAAGAGGCCTTCTTTCCTCTTATACTAGTCCTCCTCAGCACAGACCCTTCACGGGTGTCAGGCTGGGGGACGATTAGGTCTTTCCCTTCCCACGAGGCCATATTTCAGACTGTCACATGGGGAGAAACCTTGGACAATACCTAGCTTTCCTAGGCAGAGGTCCCTGCGACCTTCCGCAGTCTATGTGTCCCTGGGTACTTGAGATTAACAGAATGGTGATGACTTAACAAGCATACTGCCTTCAGGCACTAGTTTAACAAAGCACACCCTGCATAGCCCCAAATCCGTTAAACCTTGAGTCACCACAGCACATGTCTCTTGCAAGGACAGGGTTGGGGGTAGGGTTACAGATTAACAGCATCTCAAATACAGAACAAAATGGAGTCTCTTATGTCTACTTCTTTCCATATAGACACAGTAACAGTCTGATCTCTCTTTCTTTTCCCCACACTCCTCAGCCTCCCAAAGTGTTGGGATTACAGACATAAGCCACTACGAGTGGCCTGTTCTCCTCTTTTTCCTCCTTTCTCCTCCTCCTCTTCCTCTATCTTCCTACTTCTCTCCCTTCCCCTCAGTCCCTTCCCTTTGCCTGTCCTCGGCCCTTCCTTTCCATACATTTAGCGAGCAGCAGCCATGTGCCAGGTTCCCGGACAGGCACGGGGCATCACCAGTGGACACGGTAGTCAGGTACTCTGGATGTGTGTGAAGCCCCTGAGGGTCAGCTCAGGCAGTAGTGATTTTGTTCTATGGCCTCATTCTTTATTTTTTTGAGACGGAGTCTTTGTCCCCCAGGTTGGAGCGCAGTAGTGCGATCTCGGCTCACTGCAACCTCCACCTGCTGGGTTCAAGCGATTCAGCTCCCCGAGTAGCTGGGATTGCAGGTGCAGTCCACCATGCCCAGCTAATTTTTGTATTTTTAGTAGAGATGAGGTTTCAATTCCCAGTCAGTCCCCCCCCTTCTCCTCCTCCTTGCCCCTTTCTCGGGCTGCCTCTCACAAGGCTATCTCTTATCTTGCCTTTTTTTGTTTTGTTTTGAGACAGGGTCTCGCTCTATCACCCAGGCTGAAGTGCAGTGGTATGATCATAGCTCACCACAGCCTTGAACTCCTGGCCTCGAGCAGTCCTCCCGCCTTAGCCTCCCTTGCCTTTTCTTTACTTGCAGGGTTTCCCACGGTTCCATCCTTGGCTGCTTCTGTGCTGTCTCAGCCTGTCCTTGACAGTGAAAGCAGAGGCTTCTGGCTCTGAGCTCCGACTGTTTCCTGCCAATGCCCGTGCGTCTCTCTCTGGCTGGATAGAGCGTCCCCTGAGGGCAGGGCTGGGCAGGATCTATCTTTGTGTCTCCAGGGCCCTGCACAGGTCCTTCAGGAAAGTTGGGGCCCTGGGGCCCAATGAGCAAGGAGACCAGAAGGTCCTGTTTAAAGCAGGAGAGGATAGTGTTCAGAACTCCCATGGATCGAGTGTTACGCAAAGTGCCTCATGACCTAAATGGACAAATCCTTGAACCTGGAGAGGGAGGTTCATATTTACATTGACAGAGGCAAGAAGCTCAGAAGGGTGAAGTCACTTGCCCTAAGTCGCACAGCTAGGAAGTGACAGAGCCAGGACTTGAGTGCACATCTGTTGGACCCACAGGCTTAATCCTGGCATGCTGAGCCTGCTTTCCTTGCTTCTGAGGGTCTACGTGGAGTTAGGGTGGACCCCAGAGGCTACCGAGGGGAAACAGGCCGCTGGAGACCTGGCCACCAGGGTTCGTCTGCCCCTGAGGTTTCTTACTCCCTATCCCTGTCCCCATGTCACTTTGCTCCTGGCTTTTCTCCTGGCCCTTTTCCCGGCCCCTCTCCTCCCTCAGATCCTGGAATCCTTGTAGTTCATTCTGGAAACTTGGTTCTTTCCCCTCCCTCTTGCAGGTATTTAGAGAATTACCTGGCCAACCTCTTTGCGGGGGCATGGGAGCCTCAGCCCGAGGGACCGCTGCCCCTGGACATCCCCCAGGCTTCCCCGCAGCAGGTGAATTACCTCTCTTTTTTTGTCTGAGGACCCTACCCAGCAGGGCCCCCTGACCCTCTCCCTGAGTCAGTATTGGGGCCTTGATCTTGGGTCGCTCATGGCGACTCAAGGGTGGCCCTTTGGTCGGACGCGGTGGCTCACAGTGGTAATCCCAGCACTTAGGGAGGCCGAGGTGGGCGAATCACTTGAGGCCAGGAGTTCAAACTAGCCTGGCCAACATGGTGAAACCCTCTCTACTGAAAATACAAAAGTTAGCCAGGCATGGTGGCATGTGCCTGTAATCCCAGCTACTCTGGAGGCTGAGGCGGGAGAATCATTTGAACCTGGGATCTCAGCAATGAGCTGAGATCACGCCACTGCACTCCATCCTGGGCAACAGAGTGAAACTGTGTCTCAAAAAAAAAAAAAAACCAACATAAAAAGACAATCCTTTGAGCCCCACCTCTCGCCCCAGGTTCAGCGCTGTGTGGAGATCCTGAGCCGGGCCAAGAGGCCCCTAATGGTGCTAGGGAGTCAGGCCCTGCTCACCCCGAAGTCTGCCGACAAGCTTCGGTGAGAAGCCCCAGCCCTGCCCTTGTTTTCACGTTCCCAGTTCCCGGTCCTTGGGTGCTCTTGGGGAGGCGGGAGGCCCCGGCCACACTGACTTCTGCTCTGCCTGGACTCCTAGGGCTGCCGTGGAGACCCTGGGTGTTCCCTGCTTCCTCGGGGGGATGGCACGGGGGCTGTTAGGCCGCAACCACCCCCTCCACATCCGGGAGAACCGCAGTGCGGCCCTGAAGAAGGCAGATGTCATTGTTCTAGCAGGTGGGCCTGAGCCTCTTCCTTTCCCTCCTTCCCCCATGAACCCCCTCACCCTGTTACCCAGCTTCACACAAAGGAGGATGAACATCTAGTGGGCACCTACTGTACTTGATACACATTTTCACATAGAGTGCTTTGAACCCTACCAGACACATAATAGGTGTGTCAGTTAGCTACTGCCCTGTAACAACCATCCCCAAACTCAATGGCTAAAAATGCATTTCTGATTTCTCAAGACCCACCTATAAGGTAGGTGGTAGCTGTGGTTTTGACTGGGCTCAATTGTGAGTCTGCTCTTGGGTTAGGCAGGAAGGCAGCTGTGCTGATCCAGGCTGGGCTCACTCACCTGTATGGGGATTGGCTGGCCCTGCAGCTGGTCTGGGATGGCTTCAGCTGGGGTCATAGAGTTCTTCATCCCTGTCTCCATGGCCCCCTTGTTTCTCATCCTCCAGTAGGCTAGCCTGGGCCAGCCGACTTGGTGAAGGATGAGAAAACTATGGGGCTGGGAGAGTGTGGTTATTCGAGAGAGAGAGTGGAGGCTGTGTGGCTTCTTGAAGTAGAGTCTGCAGGAATGGGGGAGGGGGTCCTGAGTCATCTGGAGGTGTCTTCACTCAGAAGTCTTGCAATTGATGCCAACTGTTGCTGGGGCTGTGGACTAGGGCAACTACACAGGCCTCTCCTTGTGGTTCGGGTTTCCTCCCAGCATGATGGCCTCGGGGTAATCAGACTTCGCAGACAGAGCACATTCCTTGGCCCCACCCAGGCCTCTAAGAGTGAACAAGAAACTGCATCTCTTCTGACCCAGCCTCGGGTGTCATGCTATGTCACTTCTGCCACCTGATTCAAGGAAAGGGGACCCAGGCTGCACCTCTCTCCATGGGAGGCATGTCAAGGTGACCTTGTACAAGTGGATGTAGGGTGGGAGATATTGTGGCCATTCTGGGAAAATACAACCCGCCTCTGCCCTATCCTGTTGGCCAAAGCATGTCATGAGGCCAGCCCAGATTCAGGGGGTGTGGGGAACTGCAAGGTCACTGCAGGTGGCACAGGTGCAAGGAGACTCGGTGAGGAACAGGGAGTCTTCTGCATCCAGTCCACCACAATGGATCAAGTAAGGTAGAGGACATGGGGCCTCTACCCACTGCATTCCTGTCCTCCACCCCAGGGACCGTGTGCGACTTTCGCCTATCGTATGGCCGTGTCCTCAGCCACAGCAGCAAGATCATCATTGTCAATCGTAACCGGGAAGATATGTTGCTCAACTCAGACGTCTTCTGGAAGCCCCAGGAGGCTGTGCAGGGTGAGCCCCCTAATCCCCCTGTACACATATGTGCTCCTCCCGGTCCCTCTCCTCCTGGTTTCTGCTGCAGCTGGCTTGAACCTGGTATGGTGATCGAGGCCCAGACCTTGCCCTAGGGCGCAGCCTATCAACCAGAGATAAATAATTGGCCCTCAAACTGATGAATGCTTCTTTTTTAAAATTTTTTTATTTTTATTTTTTAGAGATGAGGTCTTGCTCTGTCACCTAGGCTGGCATGCAGTAGTGCGATCACAGCTCACTGCAGCCTCCAACTCCCAGGTTCAAAGCAATCCTCCCACCTGAACCTCCTGAGTAGCTGGGACTACAAGTGTGCACCACCACGCCAGGCTAATTTTTAATTTTTTTTTTTTTTTTGTGGAATCAGCATCTCACTATATTGCCCAGGCTGGTGTCGAACTCCTGGCCTCAAGTGATCCTCCTGCCTCGGCCTCTCAAAGTGCTGAGATTACAGACCAGAGCTACTGCGCCCAGCCTAATCGATGCTTCTGTAGGAACAGATGGTGGGGTGGACACAGAGGGAAGCTTGAAAACATGCATGTGATTACGTTCCCTCCCACACTGCCCACTGCCCTCAGGACAGAGCACACTCTTTGGCCCCTTAGCCTCTCTGTCTTCCTGCTGTATCTATGCCCTCTCCTTATTTGAGTCCCCTTGGACTTGAACTTGTTCATTGTTCTGAGGATGTTGACTCCTCTGCAGCCTAGGCCACAGGACGCTCTTGTGTTAAGCAGAGAAGTGGCACCGTTGCATCTGTGTTGGGAAGGTCCCCTCAGCAGCCGTGGACGGCAGGCCGGAAGGGGGCCGGGTGGAGGCCAGGGGGTCTGCTAAAAATGGCCAGGACAGAAACGAGGAGGCCTGAACTGGAGATGAACAGCGGGAGAACCTCACCTTCTCGGAGCCTCTATTTGATCATTTGAAAAATGGGGTGGTGAAAAATACATCACGGGCTATTTGTTAGTTCACTTCAGTAACGTTTGCCGTGCGCTTCCACGTGCCTGGAATTGACAGATGTGCTTGGTGGATGTAGCTCTTTCCATTGTTTCCCAGGCAGAAGGAGGTAGAGGGAGGGGACGAGGCCAGCTTGGGTTTGTCACCTGCCTTGTGCTCCTTAACTCTTGTTTCTTGGGTCTTGTCCTCCCTTTTCACCTGGACTGCCTTCCCCTGGTTCTGGGGTGTTTCACCTGTTTTTTTTCCTAGGAGCACCCCTGGCCTGCTTCCCATCTGCCTGCTCCGGTGCTGCTGCTGGCTTCCTGCTGTTTTGAGGCTTCTGGTGCTGGAAGAACAGGAGGAAGCCAGCTCCCCACAGCTGTGTCCTCTTCCTTCCCCAGGAGATGTGGGTTCCTTCGTGCTGAAGCTGGTGGAGGGCCTTCAGGGCCAGACATGGGCCCCAGACTGGGTGGAGGAGCTGCGGGAAGCTGACCGGCAGAAGGAGCAGACCTTTCGGTGGGGCCTGGGTGGAGTGGATGTGGGCAGGGGGTTCCCGGCAGACACTGCTGCCAACGCTGGTGACCTTCGCTGTCCTGTTGCAGGGAGAAGGCAGCGATGCCTGTGGCCCAGCACCTGAACCCAGTGCGGGTGCTGCAGCTGGTGGAGGAAACGCTACCTGACAACTCAATTCTGGTGGTGGATGGCGGGGACTTTGTGGGCACTGCCGCCCATCTGGTACAGCCCCGTGGCCCCCTGCGCTGGCTTGATCCTGGTAAGGAAGGGCTCCCGCCAGGGGCAGTGGGCACCATCCATCTGGACGCCTTCACACCCACTTGCTCTTGGTCCTCTTAGGGGCCTTTGGGACTCTGGGAGTTGGCGCAGGATTTGCACTTGGGGCCAAGCTGTGCCGGCCGGATGCCGAGGTGAGACACTGGAGTTGAGCACTGGAGTTGGGAGACTTGCTGCTCTCTGGGCCCTGATCCACCCTAACCACCCTGGGTCCCCTCCCCACCAGGTCTGGTGCCTGTTTGGGGATGGAGCTTTTGGCTATAGCCTCATCGAATTTGATACGTTCGTCAGACACAAGGTGACTGGGCTGGCCTGAGGGAAGCTTAGGGCCTGGGATTCTGGGAGATGTCACCAGGGGTGGGCTGAAGTGGGGAGGGAGCCTCCTGTCTGGCAGAGGCCCTGTCCCTGTCTCTGTCCTCTCGCTGGTCAAGTCATGGGGCTGAAGGCTGCAGCCTGCCTTCATCTTCTTCCTGTAGATCCCAGTGATGGCCCTCGTAGGGAATGATGCTGGCTGGACGCAGATTTCTCGGGAGCAGGTGCCGTCTCTGGGCAGCAACGTGGCCTGTGGCCTGGCCTACACTGGTGAGGGGGCCTCAGCAAGGCTGGGAGGACAGGAGGCTGTTTCAGTCCCGGCTGGCTGCACGTGCGCTGGGCTGAATCCTTGCCACCATCTGACTTAATCTCCTCTTTCAGAATATCACAAGGCAGCCATGGGTCTGGGGGCCCGGGGCTTGCTGCTCTCACGGGAGAACGAGGATCAGGTGGTCAAGGTGCTGCACGATGCCCAGCAGCAGTGCCGAGACGGCCACCCGGTGGTGGTGAACATCCTCATTGGGAGGACGGACTTCCGCGATGGCTCCATTGCTGTATAGGGCCTTGTGGGGTCAGGATGCTTGGCTGCCTTCCTGCCGCCGGACTGTGTCCAGCTGGTTTGGAGTCTCATCATTGCTTGCCCTGGGCCTATCCCATGAGGCCCGATGATTCCACAACCTCCCTGAGGAGGGGATGGAGGGGTCAAAGCTCAGAGAGGCTCCCTTGTGAGCTCTTCAACCCTCCTCTCCATGGACCCAACTGTGCCCTTTGTCCCCTCTCTTACGGAGACTGAATAAACCACCTCTGGCCCACGTGGGCCCACACACTCAATCTCAGAACCTGTGCATATTGATTTATTATCCACAAAGATGGAGGTGCGGAAAAGAAGAGGGAGACAGGAGGGAACCGTACTCTCCCACTGGAACTCTGGGGCCCACTGAGGCACCATTACTGGGGATTTCAGGGTGGCTGGGCACTGCCAATTGCACCCTCCTCTGTGATCCCTGAAAGAGCCCCACACGCCTGCTCCAGACGTGTCCACGCACACCAGTCCTCACAGACACACACACACATGCATGGAGGCAATAAATATGTTCCGTACCAGACTGCCCCCAGCCTGACGCTTTGGGGGGCCCCCTCCAAAAGAGAGGGGTTTAAGTGCTCAATTTTTTTTCAGGGGTGGGGACGAGGGCATGGGGATTGGAAAGGCCAGACTCTGTTATCTCCATTTGCTGACTAGAGGCCAATCGTGGGGTCTTCCCGGGGAAAGGGTGGGGGGAAACCAGCTGTTTCTCCATAAGCCCCAGGCTGCCCCTGTGTCCATGCTGGAACCCAGGATAGGGGCTGCCTCCCACAAACAGTGCCTCATGCTAGTCCTTGTGTCGTCCAAGGGAGGGAGAAACAAGAGTGCAGTGCTCAAAGCTAATACTGATTTGGTTGGCAGCAGCAAGAGGGCCGACTAGAGGTGACTCACCACTCCAGAGCGATGCACACCGTAACTGGTGTTGACCCGGCCAAGGGGAGGCAAGAGAGGCCAGCCTAGCAAGCGCGAGAACTGCCTTTTTGGCAACAAAAGGGGAAGCCCTTGGTGCTCAGGGAAGATGGTCACAACCTCTGGTCCCTAAAATCCCCAGTACCCAGACTTCGCAACTAGTGTCCAAATACTGGGCCCTGGAAACGGGGAATGAGCCTCAGCCATACATGCGACTGGTCCCATGGTAACTCCCTAACAACCAGGAGCTCGGCCTGAGCAACAGGTCTGACTCTCCTTGGTCACCAGGGAACCGCATTCGCCACCGGGCACCCAGTTTTGTAACCGGGGTCCCGCCCTGTCCTCTGGCTCAGAGGCACACGTTGATTTGCTTGGAAAGCTCTCTCTCCAGATCCAGGATGAGGGCGTCGAAGTCTTTGAGATTCAGGTGCGGGTTGAAGGGTGCATCGAAGTCATCTTCGAAGTCAGCGGCGACCCTCCGCTCACCGATCTCCTCGTCCTCGTCCTCGCTGTCACTGCCCGTCACGTGGTCGTAGTCTGGCCCGGACAGGAAGTCCCGCCCACAAGACAGGAAGTCCCGCCCGCAAACGCTCCAGTCGCCGGCATAGCGGTTGCTCGGGGGGCTCTCAGGGCCTCCTCGGCCGCGGGGCCGAGTCACCACTTCGGGGTCTGCCAGCGGCAAGTGCAGAGGTGGTTGTCGTTTGGGTCGTAAGTACGGCGCGACATCTGGAGCTTCTCCGGGCAGGCGGGGATCTGAAGGGAGACAGGGCGGGTCATACACAGAGGCGACAGCCGACCTCTGATTGGCTGCTTAGGGAGCTAGGCTCCTGATTGGCCTGTGGAAAGAGGCCTTCGACCGTTTCAGGGTTTCACCGGTGGAGCTAGAACTGGTTGCTTAGGCGACTAGACCTCTGATTTGCATGTCAAGAGGCAGGGCCTCTGACTGCATCAAAGATGGATAGCGGCAGGTGCCCTGGATCATGCCTGTAATCCCAGCACTTTGGGAGGCCTGAGGCAGGCGGATCACTTGAGGTCAGGAGTTCAAGACCAGCTGGCCAACACCGTGAAACCCCGTCTCTACTAAAAATACAAAAAAAATTAGCTAGGACTGGTAGTGCGTGCCTGTAATCCTAGCACTTTGGGAGGACTGAAGTGGGTGGATCACTTGAGGTCAGGAGTTCAAGACCAGCCTGGCTAACACAGTGAAACCCCCTCTCTACTTAAAATATAAAAATTAGCCAGGACTGGCCGGGCGCGGTGGCTCACGCCTGTAATCCCAGCACTCTGGGAGGCCGAGGTGGGTGGATCACGAGGTCAGGAGATCAAGACCATCCTGGCTAACACGGTGAAACCCCGTCTCTACTAAAAAAAAAAATACAAAAAATTAGCCGGGCGTGGTGGCGGGCGCCCGTAGTCCCAGCTACTCGGGAGGCTGAGGCAGGAGAATGGCATGAACCCTGGAGGCAGAGCTTGCAGTGAGCCGAGATCGCACCACTGCACTGCAGCCTCGGTGACAGAGAGAGATCTCAAAAAAAATAAAAATAAATAAATAAAGATGAATCAGCTCCATGGGGCAAAGTGATTCAGTTTATAATCCCAGTACTTTGGGAGGCTGAGGCAGGAGGAGGGCTTGAGATCATGAGTTTGAGACCAGCTTGGGCAGTATAGAGAAACCCTGTCTTTACAAAATAATAATAATAATTAAAAAAAGACAAAACAGATAGATTGGTTGGATCTGAACTGGTTGCTGAGGCAACCAGGTACCAGTTTACTCCATGAGGGGACGTAGCCTGCTTCAAGCCCAAGACACTGATTGGTCCCCTAAGGTGGCATCACTGCAGCACCCTGGCTCAGATTGGTGGTGCAGGCCCTGGGCATGAGCTCACCTGGCCAAGACTGCAGCAGGTAGTGCAGCACTTCGATGTGGCGCTTGAAGTCCACTGCACTGGCGAGGCCTGGGCCGGAGCTGCGGGCACGAGGCCTTGTGGGTGCCTGGCGTGCCGGCAGCAGCACAGGCCCAAAGCACACAGCCAGATTCTGTGGGGTCATGCGGTTGTAGGCATGGAAGGAGGAGACAAGGCGCAGGTGGTCCAGGAGAAGCGTCAGCGTGGCCTGGGAGAGGGTTGAGAGGATTTAAGTCAGACAAAGTCAGGTCCCTGTGGCACCTACCTGCAAGAGACTAAGGTGGCTGGAGTAAGGAAGCAGGTTCAGTCTCATAGCTGGGATGTGGTCGGGTTCAGACTATTAATCATTAGGTATTAGTATTATGAGCCTATTTCGTTGGAGGGAAGACTGAAGCCAAAGGCAACTAAGCATTGGAAAGGCAAAGCTGCCATGAATCCCATTTTAAAGAGGAAGGTATTGAAGCACAGAGAGGGATGGAACTTGTCTAGGTTCCCTCAGCCAGGAACCTCCCTTGTAGGTTGAAAGACCAGCATTCAGCGTGCATTTTTGACACATCCTGGCTGTGTGACCTTGGGTAGCTCACTCACCTGCTTTGGGCCTCAGTTTCCAAATCTATGAAGTGGGATGCTAATAGCACCTATTTCTTGGGGATATGATGCTGCTGCCGGCTCATGCCCATCGCAGGCCCAGCCATGGGTGAAACATTCTATTGGAATGAGCCCACTCTCAGGTCCCATCATGCCCACCAGGCCCAACTCACTCTTTCCACATCCGGCAGGCAGCTGAGAAGCCCTCGGGTGCCCTCAGTGGTGGGGGGAGCTCTGTTTGGGGGGTCCCGAGCCATGGCCTCCAGTACCACCTGATACAGGGGCTGGGTGATGAGCGGAGTGGGCAACTCTCGAAGATAATCCTTGAGGATGCCTGTGAACACAGGGCCCCCTCTGGTCAGGGCACCACTGGCTTCTAGGGCCAAGGAGGGGCACAGACAAGGGGGAAGACGAGGTGGGTGAAAGCAAGGTCAGATAGGAGGAGTGAGGTCCCAGAGGAGCCCCAAGGCCTTGAAGTGAGGCATTGAATGGGGGTGAGCAGGCAGAGGAGAGGGGGCCATGCTGACCAGTGATGACATTGATATCGGGGTACAGGTCCTCAGATAGGCAGACCGCTGCACTGTCCCGCTCAAAGGCATCCCGAAGCTCTTTCTTCACTGCCGCTGAGCCACATAGACGGTATAGTCCCACTACCTGGGGGCAGGAAGAGAGAGTGAATGTCTTCCTGCTGGGACCACAGACTAATCAGGGCCCAGTGGGGTGAGCACTGGAATTCTGGGCCACGGCAGCAATGGACACTGTGGGCTGGGAGGTTGGAACTACCTTGACAACCTGGCCTTGTAAACCCTCTGCTTGGACTACTTGTCTTGGCTCCCACCTCCTCTGACTTAGGAAACTCTGATGCTTCTTCCAGGAAGCTTTCCATGACTACCCCAGGTTTTGTTTTAAGCTCTCCCAGACCCTAGGTACACCCCCGCCCCACTCTAGTCCCAGTTAGTTTTACATTTGTGAATGACTCGAGTTGTATCTTTTCCCCCATCAGACTCTGAGCCCCAGGAGGGCTTGGATCCTGTTATTAAATCGATGGATGACCCATGGGTTCTGCCCAGGGTACTATAGTCAAGGGGGGGCCTTCTGCCCTTGTCTAGGCTGGGATTGGAGCTAGGAGTGGCTCAGGCCTGGGGTAGGGGTCTGGCATCTGTACATAGGGTGTCCTGAAGAGTGGGTCTGAGGTCTGGGGGCCAGAGGGGTGGAGTGGGGTGGGTGCTCACCCGCAGCCCTCGGCGCTCGATCTGCCCAACGCACTTCTGGATGATGAGGGGCACCTGGCCGGGGGACCGCTCCCGCTCCACCAGCAGTGGCAGGGGCAGCCCGAAGACGCGGGGCTCAGCTGTGGCAGGGGCTTCCTGCTGCTCCGACAGGGTCAGCTTGGCATAGAGCAGCCCCTGGGGCTCCAGGCGCACGGCCAGCTGTTGGGCCTGGCACCCTGAGGACACAAGGGCCTGAGCCGGGTACTCTGAAGCTTCATGTACCCCCCAGCCTCCCCACTCCAGGTCACACCTTCTGCCCGGAGCCTAGCCCCCTAGGCACCTGCGGGGGTGGCGGTGGGGTTTGGGGGTCCCTGCCCCTCCTCCCCTGCAGCCACATGTCCTACCTCGGAAGACCGTGGGCAGCAGCACGGTGCCCTGGGCACAGGGCCGGTGCCTTCTCACGCCAGGGTCCCATGCAAGCACCAGGGCGCGCAGGAGCCTGGCGGCCTCCAGCTCCAGGTGGAACGTGTGGTCCAGCCGCAGGAAGTCCGGCCCCCCTCGCAGCGGCCCTGTTCGGGCCCGGGCCTCCCCATCCACTTGTAGTAGGCAGCAGAGGTCTCTGGGGGTGGCCCCTGGCGCTG